TTCACTTTATTCTCCGGAGCGCTAACGCCATGATGCATTATACAGACGGCAATGTACGCACCACGAATATGATCTAGTCGACTAATTCATAATATCTTCCGACATCCCTTTATCAGTGGCGACTTTAGGGTCAAGCGTGCTAGCAGAAAGTTTAGCGGATAACGGCTTCTGACTTGAGCATACCCTTTTTTCCCTTCTGCAGCATCGTGTGCATGATGCTTTGGGGCCGATGTGCGGGCGCATCTCTCATTCATTTGGCCGCCCTCGCCCTGCTTACGGCTGGACAAGCGGCACGGGAGCACTCACAGCCACTATGCCTGGCAAGGGGCTGGAGGGATACTGAGGCCGAGTTTATTCGGTGGCCGGTCTGCATCGAGACCCGCTGGAGTAGGTCAGGCACTACGGTCACTGGGGGACCTTCTGTTACGGTGTCTACTATTTCAGACAATTCGTCGCCAACCAGCACCGCCAGCCATGCGGCTCAACAACAACACCCTGGCCAGGAGCAGGAGCAGGAGCAGGACACGGATTCGCCCCTCGATAATGCCAAGTTTCTTTCCTTTGAAGATTGGAAGAAGCAGAATCTGGCAAAGGTTGGCCAGTCAGCGGAGAATGTGGGGGGCAACCGGCGGGGTGGCGTGACAGGGAACGAGAGCCGACGACGGCCTACGGGGATCAGCAACGCTCTGGATTCTCTTGGAGAAGACGCGGAGATTGAGCTTGACTTTGGTGGATTCGGTGCTGACGCGCCAGAGGCCGCGCGACCGCCGTCATTTGGCTCGGGGGTGCAGGTGGGGGAGAGCGCAGGGTCGGTGGACAGCGGACTTGGTGGAGATGGGAGTGCCCCGTCTCCTGGGGTTATACGGTCAGGCAGCTCGCGTAGGAAAGACGCTGGGACTACGTGCAAGGAGCGCTTCAATTACGCCTCCTTTGACTGCGCTGCTACGGTGCTCAAGACCAACCCCGAGTGTCAGGGCTCGTCTTCCGTGCTGATCGAGAATAAAGACAGCTACATGCTTAATGAGTGTCGGGCTAAAAATAAGTTTCTGATTCTCGAGCTGTGCGACGATATCTTGGTGGATACTGTGGTTCTTGCGAACTACGAGTTCTTCAGTTCCATCTTTCATACCTTCCGGGTCAGTGTCTCGGATCGATACCCGGCCAAACCGGACCAGTGGAGAGAACTGGGGGTTTTTGGAGCCAGGAATACCCGCGAAGTTCAAGCTTTCGCGGTGGAGAACCCGCTGATCTGGGCTCGATATCTGAAGATTGAGTTTCTGACGCACTACGGAAACGAGTTCTACTGCCCGCTGAGTCTCATACGCGTCCATGGAACGACTATGCTGGAGGAATACAAGCATGATGGCGAGGCTAGTCGAGTTGACGATGAGATTGTTGACGAGACATTGGAGCCGGACCATGCCGTCACTGATGCGGAGATTGCAGAGTCATCCGAGAATTCGTCTGATGTTGGTGCGGAAACTTGTGAGGGCATGGGCAGGCAACTGCAGGATGGTCTCCAGGATACTTCCCCGAACCCAGCACAAGGGCTGGAGAGGCTTCTGGCAAACTATCTAGATTCAGAGACATGCAGTGCGCAGGCTACACCGACGAGACTTGCTGGCCAGGAAAGAGCTGACGCAGCTGTTCAACATGACTCGCCTTCGACGGACACCACGCCACCGGGACCGGAGGACTCTGTGCCTATTGTGCCCGGTGCAGGTAATGGTACCAAATTCGCACCTGATGCTCGACGATCTGCTGGACAGTCCGGAGTTGACGGTATCTCTTCTCCCGCTTCGACGGCAATCATGTCTGAGCCTGTGCAGCACGATACCACGTCGGAAGCAGACCAGAAATCTACAGCCTCATCCCAGGAAGAACAAGTTCCTCCAGTAGACTCAGCCAAATTTTCTGCAACTCAACCACCATCACCTAATCCGACTACACAAGAGTCGTTCTTCAAATCTGTCAACAAGCGACTGCAAATGCTGGAGTCGAACTCGACTTTGTCTCTTCTGTACATTGAGGAGCAGTCGCGGATCCTGCGCGATGCATTTAGTAAAGTCGAGAAGCGTCAGCTGTCGAAAACATCTACCTTTCTGGAAAATCTGAACGTGACTGTTTTGAACGAACTGAGACAGTTCCGCGAACAGTATGATCAGGTTTGGAAGACGGTTGCGCTGGAGTTTGAAACTCAGCGCATCCAATATCACCAGGAGATATTCTCCTTAAGTGCGCAGCTGGGTGTGCTCGCAGATGAACTTGTCTTCCAGAAGCGAGTCGCTGTGATTCAAAGCATCATGGTCCTCTTCTGCTTTGGCTTGGTCTTGTTTTCTCGGGGTGCAGTGAGCAGCTATATGGAGTTCCCCAGCGTGCAAAACATGGTGTCTCGATCCTACAGTTTACGATCGTCATCTCCACCATTTAGCTCGCCCTCCATGAGTCCCAGTTCTACCAGGCCGACGTCCTCATATCGAAGTCGCCACAGGAGGAATATTACGGACGACACGCAGGATAGTGCGCCGAGCCCCACTATCGCATACTCGCCGCCAACGCCAACCTCAGAGACATCAGTACCATTGGAGTCGATAAAGAAACGAGAATCATCACCATCCCCTGGCGATCTTGAATTGCCAGACATCGAACCTCCCCAGTTCCGGTCGCAAAGCAGCCCTCCTGTCTTGAAGAGTGGCGAAGACAGCGACGACGAAGATTCAGAGGCATCCGGATCCATGGAGGTGTGAGCACAACCACCCTCCTATTGACCAGCGACACGGCTCGAGGTGCTCGACATGACCTCTAGCGTCATAAGGGGAGCATTGTCCGAAGGACAAACGGCTGTCTCTCGGGCAATGGCCGGCTGTGGAGTCACAAACTCTCTTTGTTGCAGATTTCGGCGGTCCGGAATGCTAATTCCTTCCATTCCTGAGGCGCTGGCTTACAAGCTGAGTTCTCGCTTTCAGCTGAACGCTAATCCAGCTCTTTGTCACCAGGCCTTGCGCGGAATCAACCAACCGACGTTGACTGGGGAACACTCTGGCCTCATGTGGCTCCTATTTTCTTTATTCTGCACCAGTACTCTGTAAAACAACAGATGAAGCAGTGGATGACTAGTATATCTTTTTTTTTCATCTGTGTACGTTTAGGAGTGATGTATAGGACATGGGCGGTTGTACACTTGTACTGATACTATTGTGTTATGTTTATTCATGCGTCTAGATACCATTATGATTATAATTTGAATGACAGACGATGACCAGCCTGACATATATCGATACTTAAGTATTATTTAATTCTTGTCAAGTCTTCTCGTTTCTGTGCATATGATGTCAAGCATAGCAGCGCCAGAGATCCCCGTGGCAGATGTAGTTGCCATGACAACAATCAACACGGTTTTTCTTCTCTGCTTATCCATCTCTTCTTCCATCCAAGGTCATTCATTCATTCTACATATTTCCCTGCCATTGCAATCATCTCCACAATCTACACTCAGGACAGGTTTATAATCTCCTGCTGAAAGCTCTCTGATATCACAAACAAAAACGCTGAACGCGCATCTGAAAAATCCGCCCCTTTGTATACAATGGACTCCACACCCACCGCCCCTCTGGCCGACCGGTCAACAAACACCCACCTCGCTGCAAACCAGGACAAAGTGAACGATCTCAAGTCCGCGTCGGCGAATTTGGACTCGATGGAGTACCATCGGTCAGTTCTCCAGGGTAAACTGCAGAACGAAGATAAGTGAGTTATCCCGAGGTGCCTGAGATCCGATTTCTCTGGAGGGATGCGACGGACAGAAAACTCTGTCCTGGTCATGAACTCGAGCATTTTATCCGGTTGAAAGGGATATTTGAAGGACATATCTGACTAGAATTTGCGGACAGGAACCAAGCGAGCTATGTTTCTCCATCGGATGATATCATGAGTCCCTGCTCGAAGAAGCTGAGCGATCTCAAGGGGAAGCGGTTCAAGAAGTAGGTCACCCGTTTGAGTCTGAATATTATCAATTTATCTTGGAAGATGATGCTAACAGACATGCGTACAGTGCTGGAAAGCCTCAGTCGCTCTTCGCCAAACTGGGCAAGAAGAACTTTGAGCAGAACACTGCGGAACATAACACCAAGAAGCTTGGAGATGACAGTACGGCCTAGACATGGTCAATCACTCGATAGGATGTGAAGCAGAGGGCAAGGTGTTGCATTTTTAACCCTTTCCCCATGTTCGTGCGCTGGTCGCATCGTTAGAGGAAAAGGGAGCATACATAGCATGACTGCCTCGGTCTCGAGTCCTCTGCTTCGCGCATCTACCATCTTTCGATAACCATGGGCAGTGCCTGTGTGTTACGATTGGTTGACATTGTAAGGCTAACACTGTTGTCTTTGGGTTTCTGGTTGCTTGGTTTTTCTGGTCTGGGGTTCATACGGAGATTATGTGGGATATTAGAGGAATTGGGAATGGACTTGTGTCTCTTTTTTTGGTCTTTTGTCTCTGTATCGACGATGCATAATGTTAGCTTGGGAAAATAATGAGATCATGTCGCTGTCTTTGATACTGATGGCCGATGTCGGTTATGGATTCATCTCTCTGGAAATGTTCGGTAAACCGATCGAACCTCGGACCAACATCCATGCTGCAACCCCTTGATACCGTAAAATCTAACCAACTATCGGTTGACAAATAGTCTTTCAGTTCATTGTTAGGGTTTGCTTCCATCTCCCTCGTAACAGCATCACTCTCTGAGTCTGCAGCCTCCAGTCGGTGAGAACGGCGGGCAGCCGAGGTTCAAAAGGAGTGCTCGGCTGCTTCTCCGCAAACTGCGAGTACTCCGCAATCAGCTCCATCTCGACCCTCGTATGATCCTGTCAGTTTCACACTCTTGCTCAACTTTATAATCGTCTATTTTCCCCTGCTTATTGTGTCCGGATTTACATTTTCTAGTCCACAGCAGATTGCTAGATTCCCTTCTTTTTTCGTTGATCCACCACATACACAACATGTCCGCCTCCACAAGAATTCCCCCCATCGCTCAACCCTTTGTGAGCGACCGGGCAAAGAAGGTCCTCGACCTGGTACGTTGTCTCTTCACATTTTACCCTGGATAGGGCTATTCTAATACTTGCCGCGGCGTTCAGGTTGAAGAATTCGTCGAGAAAGACTGCATCCCCGCCGAAGCTGTCTTCCAGGCCCAGCTCGGCGAAGGTGAGAAGAGATGGCAGACTACCCCGGCTGTGCTAGAGGAGCTCAAAGCCAAGGCCCGGAAGCTGGGCCTGTGGAACATGTTCCTGCCCAAGAACCACTTTTCCCAGGGTGCTGGGTTCAGTAACCTGGAGTATGGTCTGATGGCCGAGTATCTCGGCAAGAGCAAACTTGCTTCTGAGGTGGGTGACTTGAGTCGGATACTTGCAAAGAGTGATGATCGAGGTGCTGACTGGTGGATTTTCAGGCGACGAATAACTCTGCCCCTGACACCGGTAACATGGAGGTGCTGGCCAAGTATGGCAATGAGTCGCAGAAGAAGCAGTGGCTTGTTCCTCTGCTCGAGGGCAAGATCCGCTCTGCTTTCCTCATGACCGAGCCTGATGTTGCGTCGAGTGATGCCACAAACATTGAGCTGAACATCCGGCGCGAAGGCAATGAGTACGTTCTCAACGGATCGGTACGTAGACGTTTCTCTCCTTTCTCCCTACAGCACCCATACTGACCAATTGTCGATAGAAATGGTGGTCGTCCGGCGCTGGTGACCCCCGTTGCGCAATCTACCTGGTCATGGGCAAGTCCGACCCGACCAACCCAGACCCCTACCGCCAGCAGTCCGTCATCCTCGTGCCCGCTGGACTTCCCGGCATCACCGTGCACCGGATGCTGACCGTATATGGCTATGACGACGCCCCGCACGGCCACGGCCACATCTCCTTCAACAACGTGCGCGTGCCCGTCTCGAACATGGTCCTAGGAGAGGGCCGCGGCTTCGAGATAATCCAGGGCCGCCTGGGCCCCGGCCGCATCCACCACGCGATGCGCACCATCGGCGCCGCCGAAAAGGCCCTCGAGTGGCTCATCGCCCGCGTCAACGACGACCGCAAGAAGACCTTCGGCAAGCCTCTGTCCGCCCACGGCGTCATCCTCGAGTGGATCGCCAAGTCCCGCATCGAGATCGACGCCGCCCGCCTCATCGTCCTCAACGCCGCCATCAAGATCGACCAGGGCGACGCCAAGTCCGCCCTCATGGAGATCGCCCAGGCCAAGGTCCTCGTCCCCCAGACCGCCCTGACCGTCATCGACCGCGCTGTCCAGGCCTACGGCGCCGCCGGTGTCTGCCAGGATACGCCCCTGGCCAATCTGTGGGCCATGATCCGGACGCTGCGCATCGCCGACGGACCCGATGAGGTCCACCTGCAGCAGCTTGGTAGACGCGAGAACAAGTCGCGCCAGGACGCCATTGTCGCCAAGCTCAAGTACCAGAAGGAGGAGGCGGAGCGGTTGCTGTTGGCTAGTGGATTCCAGAAGCCCAAGAGTCATCTGTGATGAGCTGGCGGGCGTAGATATAAAATAATCGGATAAAATAGTATGCAGGACAATGAGAATGTCTCCTTTCTATACCAATACCAATTCTTCAATTATTGTACTACGAGAGTGCACCATAGTCATCATGAACAAGTGAATAGAATCTAACTCCGGTATCTAAAGTCAAATCATGTTACTACTTTTCGCTAGATGATGCAATTCATCTAAGGTATAAATCATCCACCCCACGGTATTCCCCGCCTACCCACCAGAGACATGAGACAGAAACCGAACAATCACAGCAAATGCATCACTCGCCAGCGAGTTGTCATAACCTTTTCAGTAGTCGTCATCTTCCGCTTTCGTGCGCTTGGCCTTGGCCCTCTTCTTGTTGCCCTTGAAGTGCTTCTTCGAGTTGCCGCGCACCTCCGACACGTCTACCCCTCGCTCCAGCGCAACCATTAGTCGCTCCTTGCGGCCGGTCAGCTGTTTTCGGATTTGCTGGCCTTGTTCGGTGTATTGCGCGTTGAAGGGCAGGGTGAGCCGTCCGGCTGAGCCCTTCGCGCCGGGGCCGAAGAAACCCGTGTCTAAATTCCGCGACCGTGACCCCTCGACAGCCTTGCCTTGTTTGGAGGATGAGCCCAGGGACAGAAGCTCCGCTTCGTCGTCGAATTCCTCGCCGCCTGCGTTGGCCTGGGCGGTTCTTGCCAGCATTGCCTGTCGGCGAGCCGGGAGGTGGGCGGTGTCGTACAGCTCGCGGTTGTACTCGAGCGGGTCGATGGGCTCTTCACCGTCTGGGACGGGGGGAGGGTGGCAGAAGAGAAGTTTGCCGTTGACGTAGTCCTTCAGTACGTAGCGGGCCGCGCGCGACTCATCGGGCTGACCTTGGCCGGTAGTAGCAAAACCACGAGCTCTGGCGTAGGCTCGTAGGAGATCATGGGCGCTGGGGATGCCTGTGCCGCCTTCTTCCAGCGGCCGAGTGTGGATTTTCACGCCGTAGACATCCTCCAGGAATTGCTTGGGGATACGCTGCGCGACCAGACCAGCTGGACCGGTGAATTCGCGCTGCTGGTCGATGGGGAGGACACCATTTACCACCAGCTCGGCCTTGGTTGTAGCGAAGTTGGGGAAGACCAGACCGGGGCAATCGCAGAGCATGATCTCTGGCGACAGGTAGAGTGTCTGGAAGTGTTTCGTCTTTCCTGGTGTGGCGGAGACAGACACCTTCTTCGCTCCAAGGAGGGCGTTGATGGTACTGGACTTGCCAACGTTGGGGTAACCAACTAGACCGATTGTTGTCTTCTGCTTGCGCTGTCCCTCGCCATTGTCACTATCCGGAAGTGTGTCCGGAGTGTTGGACAGGAAAAGTTCTTCCAGCTCCTCCACATCAAGAATATCCGTTCTCCGAGATTTGCGGTATTCGGGAAGCTTGAGTCCTCCATCGTGCTCGGGTTGGCCATCAACTGATGCATCCTTGGCATCTTCTTGATCATTGATGTTCATCGAGCTTGTCGCATTGGCGAGATCCTCAGCGTCCTCCTCCTCACTCTCACTGCCTGATTCTTCTTCCAGAAGCCGGGCCTCGTTCCGCTCCTTGGCCAGATGAGCCGAGAAAAATCGAAAGTTGATATTGTTGCGCTCAAAGTAATCAGCCCACATCTCTCGTTGTTTCTCAGTGAGCATATCCGCCTTGTTGACAAGCAAAAGGTTCTGCTTCTTGGGGTCGATCTCCTTCACATAGTTTTCGAGATCCTCCGAGCGAAACATCAATGGATTCCGAGCATCGACAATCTGTACAACCACGTCCGAACGTTCAATGACACGCCACAGCTGGCGCCAGACCTCCAAGTTCCGCTCAAAGGGTGTCATCAGAAGGTCGTTGTTCTCCTGAAGCTCAGCAAGTCCTCTTCGCCACTCCAGAAAACTCTCCCTTTCCATCGTCTCCAACTGGTCCCTGGTTGTCGTGGCATCCCATTTCGGTCTTCTCGGCACGGTCAACTTCCCCTTATTCTGCTGATGCTTCTTCCTGGCCGACTTCTCCTCTGACGCGGAAAGAAGATAAGGGTTCTTTTGATCCGAGTGAATGATCTTGATATTGCTCATCTTCTCCGCAGTAAAGTCGGTGCCCGCCAGCTCGGCGGTGCTAAGAAATTCATCGAGGGCCGCCTGCTCTGTGATACTGCGCATCTTCACCCACGACGCTTCTTTGGCAGCATTGGTAATATAAGTACTGCCATCCTGCGCGGTACGAGTAATAGCAGAATTGTGTGATACTTTCTTCTGGTTTGATGCTTTGCCCTTGCCAAACCTATCCTTCATGAGGGTGTTTCCCAACCCGACGGAATTTTTGGATTTTGCGAGAACCATGGTGGCGATGTGTGCAGCTCAATCCGCTGACTTCCACCACTATTGAAATAAGATTCTTTCCCTTGTAGAATTAGAGAGCGGCCGTATCCAGAGGGAAAGAAAGGAAGTGTTAATGCTCGGAGGCAAAGGAAAAGGAAGAAAAGTGGTATTATTAATGATGTTGAAGATTTCCAGAGAGAAAAGAAAAGCCCCGCGCGGATAAGATAAGATGCTGAGTCATCCAGCATCAAGGACCGTTGGCACAAATAAGAACAATTGCCGAAGAGAAAGGGAAATTCAGGACTGCAAATATCTGTTGCTCAATCTACTACTCTTTCACACTTCCCAAGCAACCTTTGACTCTCAGACCCCAAAGTGTAGTGGTGACAGCGATGTTTCTGCCCAAGGCATGAACCTGCTGATAAGGGAGCACGTGACTCGATAACATCCCACTATCGCGAAATTTTGATTTTTTGATCTCCGAAAGAGACTTGGAAAGAGAGAGAAGCAGAGCAGATTAGACCGTCAAGATTTTAGGGCGTCGATAATAATCAGACCAGCAAGATGCCTCCCCGCAAGCAGTGGATGTACGTCGACGGATCCGTTCCATGATGCTCGCCAGCTACGAGACTAATTCTAGAGCACAGTGATAAGAAAAATGCCACCACATACCAGCTCTTTCACCGATCTCAAAATGATCCTTTGATTCACGACCCCGAAGCCGACGATCGTGTCCTGCATCCTGTGTCTGGGCCATCGCTTCCAATCTCAGAAGGCAAGAAGCGCAGCAAAAATCTTTCGGATCTGAGCAGCGAATTCGGATCAGACTCCGTTCGGCAAAATGAGGGTGAGGCTGCGAACTATGGCATCTACTTCGATGACACGAAATATGACTACATGCAGCACTTGCGAGAGCTGGGAACAGGTGGCGGTGAGTCATACTTTGTGGAGGCTACGAGCAAGGGAAAGAGCAAGGCCAAGGGGATGAAGCTGGAAGATGCTCTGAAGCAACAAATGACTCTGGATGATACGAGGAGCGAGTTTGGCGCCAGCAGTGTCTACGGATCTGAATATACTTCGGACCTGCGCTCGACCACTTCATCATACTCTCGCAAACCAACATACCAGGACCAGCAAGACGTCCCCGATGCGATTGCAGGTTTCAAGCCTGACATGGATCCCCGTCTTCGTGAAGTGCTCGAGGCGCTTGAGGACGAGGAATATGTCGATCCGGATGATGAGGAGGATGTCTTTGGCAAGTTGACCAACCATGCGGAGGAGCTGGATCCGGGCGAGTGGGAGGACACATTGTTTGACGAAGAAGACGAAGACGACGGCTGGGAGTCTGATGCAACAGAAAAAGCACCCGTGCAGATGAACACTACCGAGGCCAAAGCGGACCACGGCGGTGTTCCTCTCCCTCCAAAATCAGATGACCAGGAGCCTGGCGAACTGCCAAGCCACGACGCACCCGCTCCAGACATGGACCCCGAGGAACAGGGATGGATGCGCGAGTTCGCCAAGTTCAAGAAGGACGCCAAAGTGAAAGCCGCGCCAGCAGCGCCGCCGAGTATCGTCCCTTCGGAGCAGCGCAGCACTCTCGCTTCCACCATCTTCACCGTCGGAGGCACCCCGATTCGCAGAAAGAAGCGCAAGGGTGCACTCACCAACCCCTCCGCGTACTCTATGACGTCGTCTGCTTTGGCCCGTACCGAAGGCCACCGACTTCTTGACGACCGATTTGACAGGATAGAGGCGCTCTATGCCCTCGACGAGGAAGGCGAGGAGTACGACGATAACATGTCCATGGTCAGTGGTATGACTGGCATGACTGGTATGACCGGCATGACTGGCATCTCCACCGCTTCATCGCAAGCACCCAGCCTCATTGACGCCAACGGGCGCGAGGTAGCCCCGCGACACAACTTCAATGAGGTCATGGACGACTTCCTTGCCGGGTGGGATGATAAGACAAGCGCCCAGGCGAAGCGTAAGGGCGCCAAGGCCAAGAGAGGCAAAAACGGCAACGAGGCCATTGGAATCAAGATGTTGGAGGAGATCCGACAGGGTCTCGGGCCCGCTAGAGTGCCAGGAAAGGTTTCTGGCCGGGCATAATTCTCATTCAACGAACTGCGACGATGCATCTTCATTTTCTCCAGCTAAAAGCTTTGGCATTGGGCGTTTCGGGTTCATTTTTAGACCATATCCACATGTTATTTCACGAATGAAGTATGATGCGTTTTCTCTGCATCTAATATATGTCCATATTAGAGGCAGTAGTTGAAAGTTCACCGCAACCAAGGGTTATAATTCTGTACAAGTCTGCCAATTGGAGGTTCTTTCTTCTCTACCTATATATATACAAGTGGCTATATAATACATGGGTATATGGATTCATCCATTCCAAGATACACATCACAAGTCTTCTCAGGCGCAGAATGATCCTCTCCAGGAGGATGCAAATCATAGAGCACCGCCAACCTTCTCAACGATCCACATCGCCAATCGTACCTTCCAAGAGACTCGTCTCTCGGTCCGCCGCAGATCCTCGCGCGAGATGGCTTGTGAATCTTTTTGCAACCAGTCGGTCTCAGCCCCCAATTTCCGTTTCAATTCCTGGTCATTGGTCACGACCAGCGCGCCAACTTCCAAGTCCAGGTTGTAGCTGCGCTTTGTGTAGTTGCTGCTTCCAACAAATGTCATGCTGGGGTGTTCTTCCTTGGGCAGAGTTATCCACAACCCCTTGGCGTGATAAGTCCAACCTCCTGGTTCCCCAACGGTTCCGCGACGCCATTCTTTGAGCTGGATGGAGTTTGTGCGCTGTGCCTCTGCGACTCGGTCCAGAAACTTGGCTGAAAGATGTGTATAGGCGGCAGGCAGCATACCAGAAACTCCCGGAGAGCCATAAAATCCATTGGCCCATGGGGAAGCGGTAAGCACAGTACCTCGGGTAGTCGAGGCGGTGTGAGAGGTGGATGTGCTTGCAATGAGGAGAGAAGAAAGGACGGGGTGTATGTTGAAGTAGCCAGCGGTGAAGAGCCAGCGGGCACCGGAGAAGACAGAGGAAGTAGAAAGAAGGCATAAGATAGCTGTAACCGCGGGGAACTCAGTAGAAGTATCAGGCTTCAATAGCGGAGTGAACTGAGCCACAGGGTATACGAGTGTTTGACTCGACGAACTCCATTCAGCAGCTGGCTTGGTTTTAGAGGGAGGCCGGATGAGGGGGTGCAAGACAGTTGTTGAGTAGGAAATGAATTCCTCGGGGTCATCCAAGGGACAAGGGGCGCCGTTGGATGTCGGCCAATCCAGGAGGTATCCCGAAGCATTATGTGGATCCGGTAGAACCTGGAAGCTGAGGCTGCACACAGCGTCATGTATGCCCGCATAGTAATCGGCCAGTTCTTTGTTCTGAAAGACATGGTACCTGTCCAAACGATTGGTGAAATAATCTTCTGAAAGGTTCGCTCTGTAGATTCGATCATCAGCCCATCGTTATGTATTTGTGCCTTAGATTCTCGTACCCAGAGAGAATGATCTCATCATCAAAGCCATACAGCTTCATGTGCTGAAGGCCCCAGCCCTCGTTGATCCTCCGAGGAATCCATTTCTTTCTCAGTCCTGTCAGATTGGGGGTGTGGAACATCCGAATATCAACCCTATCTGGTCCATGCTCAGCAACCAGAGATGCCAGGAGAGAAGCGCAAGAAGCGTTTGGAGTCTCGCGAGTCCCTCGAAGGGCATCGGTGAGGATGGAGACTTTGAGCTCGGGATTATCGCGAAGCGCCTGGTTTATGGTTTCGATAAGCTCATGCTCCGCTTTGCCTATGTATAAAGTAGAGAGGTAGATGCGTTCTTTGGCATGCCGTATCTTATCCTGTATTCCAATTAGTTAACAAAAGGCAGTGGTCTTCATTGACTGCCCCATTCCTGCTTACCTTGAGAGTGGTATAGAAACTTGCAGGGGAATCCAAGATAGTAACATTGGAAGCTGGAACTTCAAACCGAGGTGCCACTCGATCCAATTCAACAGTAATTGTACCCAAAGGAGAGGCTGATGAGGGCGCAGCCGTGCTTGCGTTTGATGTATAGGCGGAGAATTTGCGGTCATAAAGCTTTCTCCGAGCAATCGGCCTGCGCCCGGCGCATCTCAGAGCATTGCCTCCGATGCGTTGAAACATCTTACTCGATCTTCTTCTCTACCCAAAAAACAAGACGCTGCAAGACAAATACCAATGCTCCATTTAGACCGACGCGTTCGCAAAAGATGGAATATCGATTAGACACATCTCCAGCACTTCGATGATAGAGAAGAGCAAACAGTGCAAACAGATTACGCGCTAGACCGTATCGGGAGATCCTTTCACCTCCATCGTGAACGGGTTGCCCGCTTCACTATCTCGAACCTCAGCTTTGCAGACTGCCGACCAGCTCAATCGCTGTATATCGCTCAGGATGTCGACCATACTCCGTACGTTGCGGAATCTGAGGAGGATTGGATTGAAGGTTGGTCTTCGGATCAGATTCGGAGCTTCGGAATCCCTGTGCTAATCTCTTTAACCCTGCACAGGAATATGGACACCAGATGCAGGTACGGTATCCGAACATGCGATGGAGGGAGCCCCTGATCGGACGGGGCGTTTTATTCGGATGATGACTTACTCTCTTGCCTCTTCGGCTGCACTTCATGACAGTACATCGGTATGACTTACCCGCAATTATCATCCGCGACAAGTGACTAACGCAGACACAATTTATAGGTGATACCAAAGCCGGCACCTTGATCGCTACCGACCGCTACGGCAATAAGTACTACGAAAACATGGAGGAGGAGCTTCCTCGTGAGTGATGCGAGCAGATCGTCAGTGGGTTGCTGTTAATAACTGTGCCAGTCCGGACAAGATGGGTCGATTACAAGGAGAAGGAATATGACCCCTCGCAGATCGAGCCTGGCTGGTTAGGATATCCCAAATCATCACGATGCAATTGGTCCGAAATGAGACCGCTAAATCAATGTTTTGTTTAGGCACGCCTGGCTGTCTTACATGGTGGATGCGCCTCCCACCCAAGACAAGATCCTGCAGACTGGCCTCCGCGCTTGGGAATTGCCTGAGCACAGGCCTAACCTGACTCTCAGCCGTGGCGCTTACAAGACCTACTCGACGTGAGTATCCCTCCTTACAGGAGTTTACCTTCTCCTCGGACATGAATTGTCCGCTATGAGGCCCTCCTTCAAATGCGCAACCACTAACTCCATTTTCCAATAAAGTGTGAAGCCCAAGTACTCCGCTTGGACTCCAGTTGCCGCTCCTCGGTAGATGGAATTTGACGAGACGATAGAAGTGGAGGTCAGGCATGGCTGGCGCAAGCTTCGTTTGGTTTCTTTGACCCTCTAGCCATTAGCTCTGTGGTTGGGGATGTGTAAATAAAGATGTTCTATTGCTCGTTCGATTTTATCAAAAGGATCCAAAGTTAAGTTCCTGCTTCTCGCCTGGTAGTCAGACGCTATATGTCCATAATTATCAACAAGAGGATATCATGAAGGTATTTTTGTAGCCAAGAAATATCACAACAAATGGCTCTCGGACAAATGAGACAAGAGGTATCCTGATCTTAGAGGACATAGAGGCCGGAGCCTATGTTTGACCAATGTCGGATTGGTCGTCGATCTTCAAGCTCAACGCACCACCACAAAACCTCCTTCAACTTTTCGACATCCCCGCTTGCCTCATGAGCGCGGGAGAGGGCAAACCAAGCTTCAGAGTTATCCCAGGCGGTGCCACGCTTTGTCAATGCCGACAGGAGGGCGTAGGCTCGGTCCCGGGCAGCGATACGGTTGAGCAGTTTAGGTTCATCCTCCTCAACGTCAGTTGGTGGAGACTGCCGTTTTGATGGCATTGGCCGATCCTCTAAATTGTAAAAATCCTGATTTTGAATCTTGTTCAAGGTAGCACTGGACTTCTGAGCGGTAGCCGGTAGGTATAGTGTCGACATCTCCGCATGAAGATCATCAGTATGTGGTCGGTTCAGAGGCACCTTCCTTTCCCATATGTCTAGGAGTAGATTCGCCAGGCAGACCGTCGCTTTGAGATGGTCGGGATCACGCACCAAGGCTTCCTCGAAGAGCTCCATTGCGTCATGAGGGCGTGATTGAGCTTGTGCCAAGAGCCCCTGTTCGGTGTGCAGGTCGGCCCAGAGCTCGTCAGAGCTTTTCGCTGCAGCCCAACCACGACTTCTAAATGCCCTGGCAGAGGATTCCTGGGCAGCAACAAGAGCTTCCACTCGGTCGACATGTTTGGCCGCCTCTTCGCACGCCTCTTGCGCATCCTCAAATAGCGAAGCGCGTCGATAGAGGCCTGCGATCAGGAGCCAAATCTTGATCAGGACCGAAAGAGCGTGTTTTTGCGATTGGAAAGCGGGGAATTTGGTAATTGCTTTTGTCGGAGAGTCAAATCTATATGGTAATCGAATGTCTTGCTCAGGTGGTTGTTTGGGATGACCCGTCGGAGGAGGCGCTTGTTTGCAATTCATGTTATGAGCGGCGGGTCGCAGAGGTTGCTTCCCGCTCTGTGGTTGGTTTGCGGTGCTTGATACCGCAAGACCGACAGCATCTTGAGCGAGGCCTTCTCCGCTACCCGGTTGCTGCAGCGTCGCAGTCCCGTTGGTAGCCGTGCTGACTGCGTTGGTCGGATCTTCAGTGCCGTTTATTTGAGTCGAGCTTTGACCTTCACCCTTTTTAAGAGTACCGCTGCGCTTCCGCAATTTTTGCCGTGTCGAATCTGATCTGGCCGGTGGTTGCGGATCCTCAGCATTCCCATTCTGCTCGTGAGTAACTTGGATTGCTGGGGCAAGATCGGTGCTGAGCATTTGCTCGTTGTGAACCGAAGAGCTGGTGCTGATAGGCTGCGTTGCACCAGTAGATTCGGCTTTACGTTCGGAAGCGCGTGAGGCTTTATGTCTGCCAAATATACTGCCTCGTAGACTCTTGACTGTACCAGCGGCGCTTTTCGGTGGAACGAGATGCTCTGTTTGACGGTCCTTCTGTTCATCAGCCTGAAGCTCCAGTTTGTTGAATAGCGTTGCAAAAAGGCTGAGTAGTTGATGGCTGTGGTTAACAGCAGCCTCGGGGCCCTCCTGGAGCTCAATGAACGCTAATTGTGTCATGCGTGTCTCGATGATGCGCTCCTTTTCTCGGCCCCGCAGCTGATCGATCAAAGCGTGCCCTATGTCGGTAGTCGTTGAGGCGTCTCCAGTATCTTGTCCTTGCTCTTGTGACCCTCTGCTCCCGTTGACCAACGATATGACGGCGCTGGGGAATTGTTCGAATGCAGCTTCGCAAGAGCGCTCAGCGATATCGTAGTCTTGTTTTGCACTTAGCAAGAGCGCGAGTAAATGCCAGAGCGGCACCAGGTCTCGTTCTCTGGACAGGTCGGACTGTGGGCCGTGCGCTTGCGTATAGGACAGAGCCGATTTGATATAACCGATGGCACCATCCAGGTCTCGGCTTTCCGCGAGCAAGAGGGCGAGAGTATACAAAGATGAATAATTGGACTCATCACCGAGTTCTGGAGCAATGCTTCTCTCTAGATTCTCGATGGCCTCAGCACGGATGTCATCCCGGTCTTCATTTCTGGGCGTCCAACTCGCCCAGTTGGCAAGCCCTGTCCCGATTGCTCTGTAAGCAGTGGCGATGACACGAGGAGACACCACCTGAGAATCAGCCGAATCTTGCCGGATGACGAGCTTTGCTTCCTCCCCGTCGTCTTCAATTTCTTGCACGTGCTTAGCGACGAACTCTGTCAAAATTGCAACCAAGTCCTTCGCTTTTTCGGCCTCCTTATCTGAGCCAAAACACACAAGCATAGTTACTCCTTCGGCAAGCGTCTGGAGCAAATTCTCGTCGCTTTCTAATTCACCATACTGTGCTGCTTTCTCCGCCCTTGCTTTGGCCCCAAGGACAATCTCAATGTAAGAATCGAGTGCTTTGACAGCGAGATCGAAATCTGCCAGAGCTGAATGGACATGGAATAGGCGACGGAGAATCAAGTAAGAGTGGTAGGTCTTTGTAGCGGCGCGATAAAGAATCTAAGGTACTGTTGGTCAATATGCCCCAGGCTGCATCAGTTTAGGCGGGTAAAGCACGTACATCAAGAACATTGCGGCCAACAGCATTCTGGCCGCCTTCTGGCAGGTCTTCGTCGGTCCAATTCGGTCCACATAGTTCTTGCCAATTCCGAATCACTTGCTCGACCCAATACTCTATTTGCTCATTTCGACTGTTGGCCATGGGAAACTTCACTTCACGCAAAAGGTTGGTCTCATAGATCGCCTCCACACGCCGAATCTCGCTGGCGAGTTGTGGACGGTCAGGACCGCTCGTCGGGGAGACGTAAAACAACCCATCCTGAAGAATGGCCGTCAGGAGGTCGTAGTACGATTTCCAGGTTGCTGATTTCGCGGCTGGTTCACTCGGTCCCTCAGGATTTACAGATCCCGAAGAGGGATTCTGTTTGACGTAGGGATGGGCAGACCACAGCCTACATAGTTTCAAAGCTGTCTTAATGAGCTCAGAATCACCAGATGGTGTCCTTTTGACAGCCTCTTCGCTGGCAATGGACGCAGCCTTTCCTAGCAATTTCTCCGACCAATGTAAAAATTGCGAGCATTTCGAGGAGAGGGATGTGCTATGGCTACTCAGCCATGGTGTAAGTGTTTCGAGTATCTTCAGCGCGTCATGTGGTTCAGATACCATTGCCTGGGCAGCTCCTATATGTATGTCAGACCAATAAAACGAGACACAGGGTATCATGACCAGGCCACCTTTCATGTAACAGCCCTTGACCAGGCAGACCTCCGTCCATGGGGAGATGTTCTCCCCCAATTTGTCTGCTACCTCTCCGAAGTCCTTCGGCAGATGAGCTGCTGCCAGTCCCGGTTCACTCAGCGACCAATGGAGCCAACCAAGGCAGACTTGAGCTTGGAAGAGTTCTTCCGGAGAGCCATCTTCGTTTTCAATGGTAGATAACAGCGGGGGTATTAATTCGGGCAAGGAGGACGAGGAGCTAGAGAATGATTGAGCAGTCGACGGCCTTTTCTGGTTGTATTGGGCAATCTGAGATTCTGCTGTAGCGACCTGCAGGAAACCTATCATAAGGAAAATTGACAATTAGTCTCAGGGGCGTCTAGCAAGCAAGTAAAGCAAGGGAGGCCAGTAATACATGTCTTTTGAGGCGCATGTTTGGTCACCTTCCGAATAAGCTCGGGGACTTCATCCCATTTGTTCTGGCATCGCGCACTGTCCAAGGCTACAATGTAGCGATGGGCCTTCTCAGAGACCTGACCCTGCGTTCAGCGTCAATGAAGTGATATTCAGGTACCGTCGGCTGTTCAATGGGAAGGGGAACACGTCGCCTGGCAACCGTAACTTGGAAGGCCACACTCACCGTCATAATGGAGGTACACTTGAAGATGGAGAAGAGCTGCAACGACTAGGGAGGGCAGTAAGAATATCATCCATTATCCATGCCCAACCCCGAGGCTACTCTGCAATAGAATTACAGGATAAGAAATAGAATGTTCCCCCAACAGTCCAACTAAGCCGATGGAGATAAACATCATCGGCCAGGGGAGACCCGCACGGGCGTAATTTACAACCGTATGGTACGGTCACATACCGAGGCTTCATGTGGCCCAAGCTTTTTTTTCTGCTGCCACAAAATTTGTATTTCCATTTCTTTTTTGATAAGACGACATTGAAGCCTAAGGAGCCTGCAAGGATCTCAGGTCATCAGGTGCGCACGATGGCATCGACTACTCTGCGTGCTGTGACGCATCGCTTGACGACCACGCCTGTCGATAAATTGCCTCAGATCGCATCATTCCTAGCGACATCATTGAGCGATTGCGGGGAGCTCCTGTCTGCGACACAGAATCAGAAGTCGGGCAAGTCCGAATCTGACAATGCTGTGCAGATTCATAAGCTCAAAACTCGCTTGGGCAGTTTGCTACAGGATAGGAGCTTTGAGGGACGATGGACTGCGGTTGTTCTAGTAAAGGCGACGGTGGAAGCTGGGCAGTGGGAGGTGCTTCGCGGATGCGAACCGCTTGTGCGAAGTCTCGTTGCGATTTTGGCTGTAAGTAGTCGAGTCGGTCATCGACCGGCCTGGTC